CGTTGCCGGGGAGATTCAGTCTGGGCGCTTATTTCTCGCGAGAAAAGAGTAAGAGGGAAATGGAGAGAGAAAACTTGTATGCGATTATATATGTGTGCAATTACACACATAAATACATATAAAAAAGAAAACAAGATGGGTAGATAAATTTTGAAAAAAAAAGTTTTACCCAGATCTACCATCTTCCTCTCTTATCTCGCCCCCTTCCTCCTAGCCCCCCCCTCTCCTCTTCCCAGCTTGTCTTCCCACTTCTCCCTCCCTCTCCCCTTCCCCCTCCCCTTCTCAACTGCATCCCCCCCCTCTCTTCCTCTCCCTTCCGTCGGCATCCGGTTGACATGCAGCCTTTAAATGCTGAAACGTCGTGTTTTGTCTCACGTCGTACCCTCCGCCCCCTTCCCTTCCACACTCCCTTCCCCCTCCCCCCTCCCCGCAATCTCTTCCGCCTTCGCTTCGGTCACACCCTGGCGCAACGGCTTAGGTGTTGAGCCCAGGAGAGGGGTAAGCACACGAGAGGGAGGGAGGCAGGGAGAGAGGGAAAGATGGAAGGAAGGAAGGAAGGAAGGAAGGAAGGAAGGAAGGAAGGAAGAAACGAGGGAGGGATGGAGGGATAGAGAGAAAAGAGAAAGAAAGAGAGAAAGAGAGAATGAGAGAGAGAGAATGGGAGAGAGAGAATGGAGAGAGAGAGAGAGAGAGAGAGAGAGAGAGAGAGAGAGAGAGAGAGAGAGGAGAGAGAGAGAGAGAGAGAGAGAGAGAGAGAGAGAGAGAGAGAGAGAGAGAGAGAGAGAGAGAGAGAGCCGAAAGGTGAGAAATGCCTCTTCTCCCTCCTTTCTTTTTTCGTCTTGCAATCTTCTGTGTTTCCTTCCCCCTATCCCTCCCCCCGCCCCTCCTCCCCCGCCGCCGCCCCGTCCCAGGCCCTGTTCTCGCAGTCCGGCGCGATGCTCGCCAGTTTTGTCACAAGGCAATAAATTTTCCCGCCGAGCGCCACGTTCTCAATCGGTCGTCTCAGGCAGCGGAGGGGGAGGGGGTGAAGGGGGGTAGAAGGGGAACGGATGGGGAGGGGAGGGGAGGGGGAGTGAACCTGAGTACGTGAGAGTCTGCACATCCTTCCTGGCTACCCCCTCCCTCCCCCCCGTCCCTCCCTCCCTCCCTGCCTGCCTCGCCGCCCCTCCCCTCGCGCTGAAGTTGCTCGAGCACCGGGCGGTCGTGTTGCCTCGCCTCCCATAGCCATTGTTAAGGAGCCGTCCTCGGGCTCCGGGTGAGGGGGGCGGGGAGACGCAGCCGGATAAGCTTGAGCTCAATTATGACAACGGCTTATTCTCAAGTCATGAGCTGGTGTTTATCTTTTTTTTTTCCTTTGAGAAGGTCACTATTTTCGGGTTTCAGATCCAGAGAGGATTGTTCTCCGTCTCCCATATGGCGACAAAACAGAACACAAAATCTTAATCGCATTGCAATCACCGACGTCATTCCTCGGCAATGCATGAATAAACAAGCCAAATAAACAAAGCAGACACGTAACTCCTGTCCGATGAGAGTCATAGGCATGCAACGTCCTTGCCATGAGTAAGGTACTGGAACGTCGTTGGCATAACGTATTCTTTGTTATTGCCCCCCCTCCCCCTCTCGCCCCAATTCCCTCTCCCTCTCCGTCTCTCCTTCTCCCTGGCCTTCCCTTCCCTCCCTCCCTCGCCGCGGCGGTGAGGGCGCTCGTGCGTTGGGCGAGGGCGCAGACGGAGACGGACCGCGTGCGGAGCGAGTGTTTCCCGGCCACTCATGGCACTCAGCGGTAAATATTTATACCGCCTGGCATTTGGGTCCTGCTGTCCGAGCCTCCCGGAGGGGAGGCCCCGCGGACGCTATTATCCTTTTCCTTTCGAGACGAAGAGGCGGGAGTCGAGCGACGGACGCGGCCGCCGACTTGCAGATGGAGATCGGTAAGCGCTGAGTGGTTCTTTTTCTCTTATGAATCTAGGTCTTGATTTACTATTAACCGACTGAACGAATCCTAGAATGGGAGTTTATCTCAAATGCTATCATTTTCCTTCAAGCGATTCCCACCAGGAATTCCTGGAAAGTGAAAAACTGAAATAAAAGCATCAAACCCTCAGTGTCCTCTGCTGTGCACTCCCACCTGAGGGCTGCAGGTGAGCGCATCGCCTCGTTTCGCCCAAAATCAATGGCAGGTCATTAGGTCAGGGTCTGTCATTTCGCACCAAGATGCCATAAGCACTAGGTTAGGCATGCCATCACAACATGATCTACCGGTCAAAAATCTCTCTTTAGCAATACAATTGTTTTTAAAATAAGATTTGTCGAGTAAGTTAGTGGAATCTTTTCGTGTGTTTGTAAAAATGGCCGTTTTTTCGCTCTCTGAGACGCAGCTTCCTTTTCAGCGCGAGAGCCTCGGCGAGGACCTCGGCGCCGCACGCTGGAAGGATCTCGCCGACAGGAACACCAGAGGCTCGGTGTCATCACTTCGGCGACTCGCTGGGGGGGGGGGGGGGGGAGCTGCCCACAGAGACTTCGCCATTCCCTGTGTTGAATGTCTGTGATTGTTCGGCCGACGGAAGCGCACGCAGCGAACGGCGGCAAGACAGCGGGCGATCGCGGCGGCGGCGGCGGCGAGCTTCAGCGAAAAGTCACGTAGGCATCCGATGTATCCGCCGTGATACGAGGGCGAGGGCGGGAAGGAGGGGGGTGGGGGGCATTATAAACCCCGGAAAGGCTCGGATAAGGCTTATCAGATAGAGGATCTGCTTCCCATGCCGAGGCCACAGATAGCCTGTTGTCATGATAAGGAAAGAAAAATACAACACCGAAGGATCGAAGTGTAACTGAAATAATTTCTGATAAACGAATTCCTTTAAAATTCCGTTTCTGCCGAGCCTTTCTTCTCTGCCAGAGGCTGCGCCGCCGGGAAGCGAATGCAGAATAACTCGAGTCATTGGCTCAAACACAAAATAGTTAAATAAACAGAGTGCGTGCACCGCTGTGGAGGCGGCGCGAGAGAGAAAGTGACCAATATCAATCCCATTCCAACAACAGCAGCAAACTCGGTATATTTTGCAATATTCCTTTGTAGCGGTTCGGTCGATTGGCCGACGGTACGGGACCATCGACCTTTTCGCGGCCAAGGACAAAATGTTCGCTTCTCCCTTACGAACAGTCAAAAGGGAAAAAATAATTAACCAAAAATCTCCTTGGCACGTATATGTTTATACGGTTTTTTATCCATTTTATTTATATATCAGTCAATTATCTATGCTTACATGTGTCGCGCGGCCACGACGACGATCACAATTGTCAAAAGTTATTAAAACAAAAAAACCCGCCCTCCCTGGGCGTCCAGCGGCGGCGGGAACAGCGAGGAGCAGGACGGAGCGAAAATAGTGAGATGAGAAGCAGCGAATGCTTTGATTTCTTCGCTATAAAAACATGGTTCTAATTTTAGCAGAAGCGCAAGTACCGCGGCCGAGGGAGCGCCGTCTGCGTGAGTGCCTCCATGCGCGCGAACTTTTGCCATGACAAAACGTTTCTAAATAAGTATTTTCCGCGTGTGACACTCGCTTTTTGCAGCCCGTCATTTCCTGCGCAATTATAGCGCAGTCCGGACTGCCTGTCGCTTCGCAACCTCGTTTCCAGCGACCTTCCCCATGGCGGCATCAGCCTCCGCGGCGGCCCGACTCGGGTCCGGACGCAAGACAAGCTATTTCCCTTTAACAGAGCAGCAGGTGCGGCCGAGGAGCGGCGGGGCAGCCGTCTTTGCAAGTCAGTGTTCCCGGATGTGCGGGTCAGGACGACTGCCATGTTGCCATCGCTGCGGGGTGTGCCTTCGCGCTCGCCTGCTGGGACTTCGCGAACTGGGGAGAGACAGCGTCACCGAGAAGCAGCCGCCGTTTGGAAGGACTTGTCCGTCTTGAGGGCAATTATTTCCGCGATATAAAGGGAGTCGCGGCACCTTCCGCCACAGGGAGCATGGAGCCTCCCTCCTCCTGGTCCTCCTCCTCCTCCTCCTCGCCGCTCTCTGCTCTCTCCTCCCTTCATCGCATCCGCAGGGTGTTTGCTTGAGATCCTTCCTCAGTGTGAATCACTCGCCCTGTGCAAATCTTCAAGCATCTGCCTCGAGTGGCGCTTCCCTTGGTGACTCAGGACCACATGCAAACGCCTCCGCACAGACCCCCCCACGTCCCCCCGCTCTGCATCGGCAAGTCTGCTTTACAGGGTGAGGCAGAAATTCGTGCTTGTGTCCTCGATGGCCAGCTGTGCACAACACTGATGGACACCATCCCAATAAACCTTTCGTACACTAGTCTTAGGCCTCACCTTCACACATGTAAACAAATAGTCCATAGAGTGCTGCTTAACAGAACCAGGCTTTACTGAGGTTTATGCAGCAAACGGTATCTGATTTCACAAGTCATATGCCAAAGGAATACTGGCTGAGCTTATGTAACGGAAACATTCTTTTCAGATTCACAAGGACTTTGTCAGGTCATTGCAGTTCGAGTCACTCTACTGTTTGTACAGTAAATAACATCACTATTCGAATTTTTCTCTGCACATATATGCATATCTTATTATATAACCACGTGAACACAATGCTGGTCAACTGATTACATAAAAACGTGAAACTTACCCATTTAAACTTTGGTATCAAGAGCAGGTCCCCGTAGAGGCAGAAGAGAGGAATGTTGTCCCTTTTGACGACGTTGGCCAGCACTCTCTTTCTGCTGATCAAAAGCCTTCTGCAGGTCTCCGCCGTCTGCCGTGCCTCCTGCACTGCATCGCCATCGACAGTATCTTCGAATTTTCTCTTCTTAACACCTTCCTCGGGGTCCTGAGAGCACTGATCACCATGGTCACTGTCTAGGCTCGTTCTGCAGCGGCCGTACGTCCTGGCCAGGTGCGTCGTGCTCGTGAGGTGGTAGTAATGGAGGGGCAGGTGCAGCGGGACGCGGGTGGCGCTGCTCGTGCGGGTCGTGGTGTCTGCCGCTACGCCCGCCGTCGTGGAGGTGTCTGTGGTGGACGTGGGCTCATCGCCCTCCTGCAGGCGGCAGCAGACATCCACCTCCTGTAGAGGCGCTATCTGGACGTCGCAGGAATCGAAGTCTGGCGAGGCAGTCAGCTGCATGTTGTCGGGGGTTGGACGGAAGACAACGGCAGCCAAGAGCTAGTCTTCTAAGTACTCCTCACGATTCGCGAAAGCCTCTGATATGTTTCTCACTTAATCACAAACTACTGTATCACAAAGTCTTTGGTTATATTTTGTACTGCACACACTCTGTTACTGCAGAGTTAGCTACTCATAAAGCACGATCGGTAGATTTGTCTTCACAACCGTATGTAAGCTGTAGGAATATCAGTATCACAATGATCATGTCACTTTACGAGACACTTTTCCACTCGAGTCAAACGGCAGGCAATGTCTGTCATGTAGCGCAGTGCTGAGAGCGCGTGCACGCCTGCCCGAAAGCCGTAGTGAAATGGCTTGCTGGTAGCACAGCTGGTAATATAGCCGCTTTGAACGACCCGCCCGTAAGATGCTCCTATTCCCTGACACCTGGCGCATGCGCAGACCCGAGCCTACACGTTGGTTTCTATTATTTTCAAAGAATTTCAGTTGCCACACGCTCTTTCCGCTCGTTGCCATATACCCATTCCCCAAAGCTACAGGAATCCGGGCAGCAAGGGCTCAGAATCGCCGCGAGTGTATGGGAGGCCAAGAAAAATAAATAAGGTCCGGCAACTTTCCCCGAGCGCTGTTGACATTTCCCGACGGCGGCGGCGGCGGCGCGGGCGGGAGGGCGAGGAAGTGTGTACGTGACGAAGCGAACGCCCGCCGCCGCGCCGTCCTGTGTCACCCCGGCCGAGGGGGGGATTGCTCTGACCGAGTTCCCGGCCGCGAAAAAGCCGCGTTCGTTTGCTTTCTCATCCTGATGATCTCCGTTGGGGTTGCAGCCATGATTTGCACTGCAAGGACACGTGTTCCTCCCTCACTCATTTGCAATCAGATAAAATATTGGGCGAGGTTTAAGGCACGAATAGCCAGAAGAAGAAAAAAAACTACATTACCCCCCCTGTACGTGAAAACTTGTGGAATTGCACTGAATACCCACAAGGCATAAGATAACTCCCGGAGTACGTGTCAATGGCCATTACGTTACCAGGCAGGAAGTGGTGTCAGAAGCAAAGTTGCAGCGAAACGTACCCTCACGACGAACTTGAAGGCCTTGTGGGAGGAGCCACGCACAGCCAAGTTTCCCAATCTTACAAATCCCTTTTCTAAACTTGGCAAAATAATGCTGAGCGATTGATGGGAGACGATAACCACAGACAACCTAAGTACTACAATCGCCGACCTCTAGTTCGGTGATAAGGAAGTTGGAGAGATAAAGGTTCCATGATTAAACAAGATTGATAGCACATGATGGATGCATATAACAGCGATCTCAAACATGTACCAGATTCTGACACGAAGATAAACGAGCGCTGTGTTATTTGTTTACGAATAAATCAGCTGACAGCAATTAAATGCTATAAAGTTACATTTTCAAAACAGTCCTGTGCCTGCTTGATGATCAAACAATGTGTTCATAAATTTTACGCGTTTCCTATCGGCTGTTGAGAGGAATTTCATCGTGAATATGAACTTTAATTAGCTCATGTTTCTTCAGTTATTTATAGGATACTTCCCTCGCAATCATGGACGAGGCAGTTTTTGCGGAACTCATAACAGCTCACGACCTTTACACTCTATTTATAACAGTTGTTTCTTGACTATTTATATGGCTGCTCTGACCTCGGCCAACCTTTGTTTACATCGCTTTTACTCTTATTTTTTGCACAGTCCGCATTTGAAACAGAAAATGCAGTCACTTAATGCAGACCCCCCCCACCCCTGCATCCCCCGCAAAATCCGAACGCCTTGCAAAGGAGTGCAGGACCCCTTCCCCCCTCCCCCCTCCCCACCCAAACATTTCTCATGTTCGGCCGCTTCTGTTCTGTTCCAGAGAAAACTGTCCTTGGACCTCCGGGGAGACTAAAATATTTTCGTAGTAGGTGCATTGCAGTGTCACGATTTAGCTTGTTTTGTTTTTATGTACTTTCAGGTTTTGGTTTGTGCATTTTATGTTACTGAAGGTTATTCTGGTGTTTATTAACCACGCCATATGTTTATCTTGAGTTTGTGCTGGCCATCTAACGGTCAAGAAAACTGTTGATTAAACTCAGTGCCTCAGGAAAGCCCAACAGGCTCACTGCCAAACCAAACCAAACACCCACAGGTATATATATATATAAACAAAGAAACATATCTAATAAGAACAAAAATCACGCCACAATCATAAAGAAAAAAACACTTCATAATTAATCTCGAGAAGGAAGCGCTTCTAACGTGTCCGCCCGTGCTTCAGCAACAGACCCTACGGCTGCCTCTGCACGTATCCTTGCCTGCCTCCGCACCGGGCACGCCGACCCTCACGTACTCAGGACATCCGGGGA